CCTATCCAAACCAACACCCTCTAGAGGAGTTGGCACCACATTAATTGTGGGGTGAGAGGTCAAGGGTTCAAACCTTACCTCCCATCAATGTGCCTCAATATGAGATTCGTTCTAAATCCATACGAGTGTGTGGTTCACCCGTCTGGTCTGATGGTAGTTCAGTCTCCGTCAGGTTTCTCCGACTTAGTTGGACCATCCCATAGAGTAGATTCCCCCCTTAGGAGTAGGAGTAGGTTAGGTTAGGTTAGATGCGCCGTTACGACTAAAAGAAAAAAAAAATTTTGAGTCCAAGATTTTTAGGGTTTTGGATTTCAATCTTTGACTAGCTAGTAGACAAAAATCACATCCGCTCTTAATACCATAACTATTAAGTACATAATGGATATACTATAGTGGCAGAAAAGATTTTTAATTTGTACCGGGTTAAACGTACGTACTGCTTTTAAGTGTCTGGCCCTATTTCTTCAAAAAAAAAAAAAAAAAAAAGTGTCTAGCCCTATATAAAATAACATGGGATGGACAGAATTGGCAGTTGGCACTTCAATAAAACAAGCAGTCTGCGTGCTTATTATTTTGTCCAGCCATTATCATCCATGTACACACATTGCCCCACGTACTACTCCGTTTGTTGTACGTATGACCATACGTCCATCTTGAAGGATGACATTTTGGAGGATATATTTTGGAAGTTTATGCAGCATTAGAAGCAGTACTCCATATCATCATCATACTAATCTGCAGCATGCAGTTAAATAAACAGGAGTCCTACTCCTGTATGGAAATCAATTAGGCCCATTTGATTGTTCTTGTGTGCAAAGACTAAATGCAATATACTATCTCATTCGAATAATTAATCAACGCCAGTGGTTGTCTTAATCGGATGAGCATGATTTGAATATTTGTAGGAGTGCAGAGGGAATCTGTTGTCCAATGTGGGCAGTTGGAGCTTGATTTGTTCCCACCTTTCTCGTCTTGCATATTTCATTATTCGTCTTTGAAGAGATACAAGTTATTAGTATCAAATCATGAGTCAGTCAGTCGCCGGCCCCTTCAGTTTCTCTGCTAATTAAGTGCAATATACCATGTATGTATGATTCTTGGATTCTTATGAAGACGGTAGCCCCCAGTTTCACTTTTCACGTGGAGAGAAGATAAACGAGGCCAATAAAAATAAAAATAATGCAGATGAAGCTGAGGATGGTGGCCACCATGGCCATGGGCATGGGGAGGGAGGGTATAAAGTATAAACTACTGAGATTGAAGACAAACGCACGGACGGAGGTTCAGATGACAAATGCACCATTTCACAACTTCTATAGATACGACGGACGTGCATGCATTCTGGAAAAGAAGATTAATCAGTTTCGGTAACTTAACTACCATGCATTTCACACCTACAAAACCCCCCCAAAAAAAAAAGTAAAGTAAAAACCTGCCACTAGGTATACGTCTTCAAATTCTATCAAATAATTAAAAATAAGAAACAACAAAGAAAATACAGTACTTTTGTTGTTAAAACTTGTTGTTACTATCCGAGTTTAATTACCAATATGATTGTCTTTAATGAATCCCCTTCATATATTAAGAAGCCGTCATAATTAAGAGAAACTGTTCTCCTTAGTAGTTAATCATGAAACCTATAGAAGGGAATATATGACACTCATTAATTGATTCTGATTGACTTTAAATAAACATTACGTATGGATATAAGGAAAAAAATCATTTAAAACGTCTATAACACTTGTCAAATGAATTTTCTCACCTTCACCTATTAAATGATAATTTTATGTCCCTTACAAAATCAAGTCGATAAAATTTAGTTTAAATCTAGTTTTTTTTTTTTTTTACCTTGAATCAGTCACATGACTCATACATGATCATTTTTTTAGAACAAAAAGGTCAGATCTCATTTGTAGTTAAACAAGTGATCTTATTCATATTCATTTTTGCCTTCTAAAAAGTAGGATTTGACCCAAACTATATTCATTTTTTCCTAAAAAAGTGAGATTTAACCCAATCTATATTTATTTTTGCCACTAAAAAATTGAAATCCAAATCTTTTTTAGATGAAAAATGATTGTATGTAAGTTATGTGATAATTTTAGACAAAAAAAAAAAAAAAAAGGTGGTCAAAAACTTAGATTTGGACCAAATTTTGCTAATTTGAATTTACAAGGAGCATAAATTTAACACTTTAAAATTGAAGGACAAAAAAGTTCATTTAATGAAATGGGAATGACGTTTTGCACGATTTTCCCTAGATACAATTGAAACCCATTTCTTCTCTTGAAAACCACCTCCCAAGCACCTCGTAAACAAAATTTTAACAGTGTACAGATAGTGGACAATGGACAAACGATCCGCGGATGGGGTTTGTTTGGTGGATTCAGCCCAACAATTGGGTCAGTAATTATCGGTTTGACTCAGACATCGCAAAGCTGGAAAAATGGGCTGATGTCAATCCACTAGATCGTTTTGAGTTGCGTATTTTACCGGCAACGGGAAATGTGGTACTACAAAACAAACCCCAGCTTTTGGACAAGACACCCATGATTTTGTTTGTGTAAAGTTTGAGTGATCGGCTTGACCGCCACTTCTTCATTCAAAGAATGACGACCCGATATTGATTATTGAGGATTGAGGTCAGTGGCAGAGCCAGGACGTATATTGAAGGGGTGCAATTGTCAATTTCAATATAAATCATGCTCTTAGATATATATAAAATATATATATAATACACATTTTTTATTTTGAGGTGTGTCCAAATTTTTTGTTAGAAGTAATTAATAAAAAATTTTATTTTTTTTAGGAGGTCAATGTAGAATGAAAAGGGAATATATAAAACTTTAGAAGATAATCTATATACAGAAAAGAATTTTCTTAAATCTAATGGGGCAGTGCAACTAAAGGCGAGAATTTTAAGAGGGTGCAAATATTTGTTTTGCGTTAAATAGTTTTATCAGATTTGAGGGGGATAACTGCCCACCCTCACTCCAACGGAAGAAATGCCCTCTCTGCGTGAGAAAATCTCCCGACTTGAAAAAAAAAAAAAAAAAAAAAAAAGGAAGAAATTTTTAGATCCGATGAGATGGCACTGTTGCTTGTGCAGCTGCTTCGGTTGACTTCTCCCGCGCGCCAAAACTACTATCAAATCAAGAAGCCTATGCAGCTTACAGCTATTGACATCTCTAGAATAAGCAATTCCAAAAATGAAGAAATCATCCAAAATATCAACACCGGGAACAGTTACTTCTAAGGCACTCAAAATAGTCTTAAACAAAAGTACTGAGAAAGAAACCGCTCAGGTCTGAGGTAATGATTAGGTTACCATACATTCACCAACCTCCAGATTTCCAATTGCAAGTAGTTTTTTTTATTTATTTATTTAGTTTAAACTTAAAGCATGAGATATACTCAGTAAGTACTACATTATTAATTCTAACGAGTTAAATAACTGGTCACTTGTGTGGTTAAGACTCATTCCGTAAACGCAGGAAACTGTTTTCCTTTAAGTTTTGTCGGATTAATTTTGATTTGTTGCACTGCACGCAAACAAAACTACAGTATATATATATATATATATAGAGAGAGAGAGAGAGAGAGCCACTAATTCAGATTTTTCTTCTAGTGCGGCCGCTATCATCCATTGCAATAATACTACTGACAATGAAATGTCGAGTGTAACTTTGAAGACGTGTGAGTACGTATGGTGCTACGCATACACATCAAGGTTAGTTTTGACAATTTAAGTGAGTGTATGTATAATCAGCTGAAGGTGATGCGTCTTTTTTTTTTTTTTTTTCCTTTCTTTCTTGTATCATGTACCGGGTACTTTGAATCCAGCAATTTATGTTGGAATTTTTAGCAGTGATGGTTCAGCGGTCATCTTCACCCAGGGCCACCACTTTGAACAAGTGATAATATTTATCCTACAAAAACGATAAACATCGTGTGTACCGTAATACTGCTTGACATCTGTTGCTATTGCATGTCATCCCAAACCCACGAATTCATCTTCATTAAGGATGAGATCGAGGAGAACCGGAAAACTTTCAGGAAAGAAGAAAAGAAATTGAAAAGAGGAAGTACAATTACAAGAAGCGAAGAGGGCATCGGGGCATTGGATGACATTTCTGTCTAACCAAGATTGACCTGAACGAGGAAGTTTCTATTCTCGGAAGTACATAAAAAAAAGTACTAGTACTCTCCACCATATGACCGTCGTGCTCTTTTACCATGTCAAATTTATTTTTCTATTAATGTTGATAATAATAATGTCAGTCATTTCTCAAACATTCAGAAATTGTTTGGAACAAGAAGAACCTGTGAACGAACGAATCAGAATTGTTAGGTGATGGATTGAACATAAGCAACTGCGTCTCGACGACTGCAGCGCATCGTGGTATGAATGCGAGTGGAGCACTAGATTTCGACGTACGGCGCCGAGTCATTAAGCAGTTGTAGAACTTGGAATTGCTAGTTCATAATTTAAGGACGTAAAGAAGCTCATATATATATATATATATATATATATATATAGTTCCTCAGGCATTAGGGGTCAGTAATCATGAAACAAGATCCGGCGACCAAGTCCCCGGCTGTTATTCCTTCCCAACCTTTATTTCACCATGGCATCAGGGTGACATCAGAAACCTTCTCTCTTTTCCAAGAGTTGCTTCCAAACAACCGTTTTATCCGCCGACTTCATCTCTATTGAGACCTAATCCGGAAAAGGAAAGCACTACGGTTTCAACGATTATCAGGAAGTCAAGGCTATTAAAATGGGGCTCAGTTCTTATGTACGTCACTTGCATTCTTGGAGCAGACATTATAGGTTCCTGGAACCAGACAGTCTTCGTATGGTTCAATTCTTGGAAAGTCCGCGTCAGGATCAGCAAACTAGGGGCTATTCAAACACCTCAAGAACCTACCCTAACGGGGAAAAAGAATAATAAAAAGAGCAGCATGAACCATATGCGAAGGCAGCAAACAAAATCTCACGTAAAGTTCCAAGCATCACGGTACTTGTTTGAATTTTTTTGGTCCTTAGTCATGCTCGTGACAGTTGCTTGTGAAATATAATAGAAAAATACAACTATACTCGCGGAATATAGTGGGAAAATACAAGAGATAAAAGAGGCAAGAAGAAGAGAGGAAAGGAGTGCTCAAATGTCAAGTTTGAATACATGTAAGCAAATATAATTTATGCGAATTATTTAGATTAGGGTAAGTCGAGGTAGCAGTTGACTGGAGCCGCAAGCATCTCACCAAAGAATGTCACCTGTATGAACTTCAATCTGTCATCAAAGGCCGGCCAACAAGATATTTAATACTAGTGTCAGTGTCACCCCCAAAACCACTTCTTTAGTGCTCTGATAGCATGACACGAGACTCGGGCAATTCCACACACTAACTTAACCGGGGTCGCTCGGGCTACACAAACGCAAATCTTTGCTGTTTACTTTTCCTCTTTAAACCAGCTTAGCTTGTCTTCCACAAAAGCAAATGATTTCAATTCGACCTCCTAAGAAGCAAAGCATACATTTCAGAATCACGATTTAGGTTTCCAAATGTTCAAGCGGCACCTATGGGCAAAACCTCATTTCCAGCCCTACACGAGAAGATACATATACAACTTTATGGTGCATTATCCCCACAGGTATATATAACACTACTAGCCCAGGATGATTCAAGGAACTAATTGGTGGTTTAACTCCCTACAATCTACACAGGTGTCGTCCTTTTCTTTGCGATTATAGCGACGTTCCTTGGAGATAATACAGGATCAAATATAGGTAACATGACTGCTTCTACGATACTGCCTTGCTCCTGGAGGAACAACAATCTATCAAGCAGAATAATAGTTTCCAGAACGGGTCCCAAAGCAGCACGAAGAGACCAGTAAGGTCCAATTAATACCTGGATAAAATTCGCAGTTTGCAAGACTTGAATAAGCTTACACATCAGGCAGAAACAAATGGCATAAAAAACCTCACTGCAAAGTTTAACTGGACAAATATAGGTTCCCATATCTGCTAAATGTAGTTTTGGTGAAGGAATCGGTCCTATTAGGTTTAGGATCCCTACAGTTCTCCTAACATTTACATGATGCTCATTGCTGAAGGCAAGTGCAAGATTTATAGTCACAGTAAAGTTTTGGAAGCATTACTTCTAGTTATCTGTCCAAAACTAAAGCTCTAAACCTGATGCCATGAGGATGATACTTCCCTTTCTCCTTCTTTAACCTCTTATCTTCAAACTTCATCCCTCACGGCAAAAAATTTTTCATTTCTAGGCAAAATTTTCATTTAAAATCAGCCTCGAATGTTCAGCTTGTGTATGTAGTATGCACCGAGAATACTGTTTATTCTAGTTGTTTCTGGCCAAAGATCGAGCCCGGGTACTTCTCCATCAGAGAAATTATAACCAATGCCTCAATTAATGGTAGCAAATCAGTCATATGGCCAACGCCTTTCTCAGTCTTTTGGTGAGGCTAAGATCCACATGAGCCAATTCCATGCTTAAAAAGTTTGAATTCATGATGGAAAAAAAGAAAAAGAAAAATGGCTGTTCAACTACTGACCAGGAATCAAAAAGTTGCATCTTTCGCACACAGCCAAGTGCCAGACATCCTTTCTCTAGCAGAGAATTTACAAGCAGTGATGCCTAGCCTGTATATAGGAAACATATCTAATTTCCTCTACCTTTTCTATTTTTTTTAAATATATATATGTCCACTGCATTTAACTTTTATTAAGCAGATTTAGATATGTGATGTGTACAGGAGAAAATGTGACAGTTGCCTGGGAGTTAAAGTTCTTAGTCATCTCACACAAAGAAAATTTTCCAGTGACTGTGTTTCTGAGATCTTTATCGTATCAGAGGATATTAAGAAAATATGATAAGGTAGAAGAGCAACTTACAGAAAATGGTTCTGTTTCCTCCCACACTTTGTGAAGTTCTATGTCCGACAAATAATGGAGGCCAAGACGGTTTAGTCCAGAGTGGCAAAATTCCAAAAACAGTGAGAATCTGTCAAAAGAACTAGTCTCTTCATTCATGGAACTCTCACCAAAAGATTCACAAGAAAGGCCATCAATATCACAGCATGAACCTGCAACTGGAGATCATTCAATTACCAAGTGAAACTACAAGCATGTAACCAGCATCCTTCTATTTCTTGCTCAATCTCCCAAAACCTTCTATGGTGTGAAAATTACATCCACGATAAACTGTAATCAGCTCAGGCATACCATGATTAATCTACTCTACTTAATGTAGCAAGTGCTTGGCACTACAAGCACTAGAATACTCACACTGACTGCTTCAATAGTATGCGGTGAAGGCATGCACATGTAAGAGGATCTATTTCTCAAAAGGAAAATGGAGAATGAGTTAAGCTTAAAATGAGTATCTCTAACGTAGTTTACCTTTTTTCTCAGTATCTCTGCTTTCAGTACAAGCAAAGGCAAACCGACTTCCTTCCTTAGAGCTGTTTGTAGATGAGGAAGCTGAGAAGAATTTAGGCTCTTCATAGCTCAAATTAGACTCCAGGATCTTCTGGTGCTGTTGGCGGCGTAAAGCTTTCCCTTGACGCCCTAGGGAAGGACTTTCCATCAACAATTTTGGATAATATTGTGAAAGAACCTGCAAAATGACATATCTATAAGCAATGGAACTCAATAACTAATATATGAGATTTACAGTGCCACCACCAATATTAGGTACAGTAAACTAGAGGATTACTAGATCACTTGCTGCAAAAGCAAAAACAAAAGAAAACTTTTTAAAAGAAAGTACCATCTGGAAAGCAGCACAAAAAGCATGCAACTCAAAATTATGAAGGCCAGCAAATTCTCCCAAACACTTCCACCTTTCTGCACTCTGATAAAGGAATTGAAACTAAAAAGTATGAATAATGCAGAACATTGGAGAAAACAACTTCACAGAAGTTATAAACATGATAAGCACAAACCTGACAAGCAAGATCACGCGCACTTCTCCCCAGTGCAAAGCCTGTAAATTTAACACCTTTGCTCATTGGAAACCCGCAGACAGAAGAAGCTTTGTCACTATCATCCTCGGACAATAAATTGTAGCAACACCCAATGCTAATGACAGATTTAACTTGGTCGGACTCCAAGAATGTCCTTATCACACAAAAACATCAAGTCAAGCAAAACATACATAATATAGATACTCAAGGATCATAACAAACTTCAGTCTGACTGATTTCCCACAATGAAAACCTACAGGAAAAGACTAACAAGAGAGGAAAGGAGAATGCTCCATCTCTAATTAAGTGTCAACACTTTCATATTCTTTTTTCCCTCAAATCTTTGATATCAGAAAAAGAAAGAAAAAAAAAAAAGGAGGCACACCTTAGCATTGTCACTGAAAGATCACCACAGGCATGAAGTCCAGCAAGGATCAACGAAGAGCTGCAAAACACATCAGAGGTAGAAGGCAATTCACTCTCATGAGGTCCTTCACGTTGTTCAGACATAATCTCGCTTACTACATTTGGCTTCTTTGCATGTTCCCCCTGAATAAAGGAGCTACTCAAGTTATTCAGCATATTAGCAGACAGCACCTGGCATGTTACTGTCTTCGGGATGCTCAACTCTCTGCTTTCCAATCTGGCAATAGAATGAAACTTTGAGAAGTGCAATGTACAGACAAATTATTTTCAATCATCAGACAGATTTTAAGATGTTATTATTATCTAGACCTCCTTTCCCCAGCAGGCCTGTCAGCATAATAGGCATGACATATAACCAAGTTGAGCACCAGGCATACCATGACCTAACCATCCACATCCATAGACAAATCAACACATACTAGCTAGATAGTTGAGAGCCTATTCCAGAAACATTTCTACAGAATGACAAAGTTGTGTTTAGTGATGATGCTCATTACCAACTTTTGGTGGAAACAAATTCTCAGGACAAAAAATTGTATGCTTGGTGACCTCCAAGACGCATGAATCGTATCTGGTTCATATTGGCATAAGGATGTATATCCATTATAAAAGAACTTGTTAAATGGAGCTGTTTAAGACACTGAAAAACTTCACATATGGCTGAAAGCAAATGAAGAGGAAACCCAAAGCTTATCAACATAATACATAAATGCAACACCAGGTATGGAAAATGTAGACAATTTGACCACCTACCCTGATTTGCGCATCTTAGAAGCATAATACTTTCTAACTCGCTCAGCTCTTGCATCTGTAACTTTCCCGTGATGCAAACAGGCATCAATTGCATACACAGAAAGCCCGTGTTGGAAGGAAAGTACTTGTGCCAGATAACCCTAGCAAATGAATGACTAATATGTGAGAAAAGTAGTTTACAGACAATTACTTCTTTTTTAATAATCTTGAATCTAAAAAATAGCTCCAAGATACAATATCAAACAAAATCCTCCATCTGCTGAACAAAAGAATCCAGATCGAGTATGACTTCAGAAAAACACTTGTTCACACCTTTTATTGCAATGAACTAATTTTCATAACTATAACCTGTCATGACACATCCTAAACTGGCCTTTTCACTTCAATGATTACATATGCATCTAGTTCTTAGTTGTTTTGAACAAAAAGATCCAGCTACCAGAGATTTTTTATTTTTCATTCTTTCGGACTCCAATAGATTAATAACAGGAAAGTATATTAACTTTTCGAAGCATGTTTCTTCTCTACTCGTGCTAGACAATATTCCAGACATGGACAACAATAACAATACAAAAGGATTGGCACCTGTCCAGCACCAACATCAACTACTCTAGTGGATCCAATATTCCTTGCAACTGAACTAACTACTGCAGCAACAGCTTCAATCTGCTCGCAAGAAATAACATCACCCATGAGTCTCCAACTTCTACAAGCCAAACAATGATGCAACACATAGAAAGTTGGCAAAAACAGAGACGAGAAAATGAGATATGCATATAGATGGAAATTTTAAATCAACTTCTATAAAGAGTAAAATTTGAAGTTTTTAAACAGCATCAAATATGTAACACAAAATTACCTAAAAGAAAATCATTCTGAATTGCAAGCTACTGAGTAAACAATATTTCAACCTCAACTAATAGTATTAAATTCTTTGTTTTGAAGCTTCATCATGAATAATAAGCTCCAGTACTTCTTCAAAATACACAATAATACTGAAAATGTTATGCAAAATTCAAGTATAGCAAATTCCTAGAGTACCATTCTTAGCAGAAGAGTGACCAGACAGTTTGTCAAAATTATAGCATCACTATTAGTCTAAACAAGAGTTAATGAAGGAACAGAGCCCCATAAAACATAACCATTAGATATGCCTAAAGATGAACGAAGTTGATAGGTAGAAAACTGGATGCAACTAAAATAGAAAAAAAAAAAAAAGAAACTGGAGATAAAGACTGAAAACTGCATTTGCCTACTTCATGTTTTTTCTTACGATTCATGCCTTGAGCTAGAACATTATTCAATGAAGTCATATCCAGACCAGGAAATTCCTGCAAGAAACACAGAAATAATGCTTTAGCATATAGTTTTCTCCAAACAATAATTACAAGGGTTGTCAAATAGGAGTAACAAAAGTTCCTAAATTCAGTCTCCATGACGAAGCACTGCTAGCATTGTACATTCGCATCTAGAAGAACTCTTTTCTTGATAACCATTTCCATGTTGGAGTATGTTCCCTTGTACATCACTAGCAAAATCTACTATCCCAAGAAGTCATATTTATTTTGACCAAAAACAAAAGGTCACATTTAACTCGAACAAGTACCCTAAAAAAGTAACGTGCAATAAAAGTACATGTGAGAAAATGAAAAGCAAACCAGCTAAAACATGCAAAAACCTGAACACAGCTGAAAAAAAATCTTAAGAAACACCAAAACTATATAATGCAGTAAAAAGATTAGCTTCGGAATGAATAAAGCAAGAAAAGCAGCATGCATATTTAGTGAAGGTAAAATATAGTAGTAGTAAGTAGGCAAGGAACAATTAGCACAAGATAATAAAGATACCTGGAACAAATTAGCTTGGTGACGAGGAAAAGAAAGAGACTTTAAAGTAAGCACGAATTCCTTGAGGGAAGCCGGCCAGTGATCCTGCCAACAAGTCCACAGCCAACCAATATACTCACTCCATCGTAACTGCTAAATAATAGTTTAAAGACGAAAAAAAGAAAAGGCTCGCTCAATCTGAAAAAATAAAGATATAGAGGGAGTTACGTGAACGAGACCGGAGGGAATACTGAGGAGATTTTGGATGGGATCCTTGGAAAGGCAATCCATCCAGTCTTTGGGGACTGCTTCCCAGAGGCCGTCCTTGAAGAAATTAACGACGTGGGCATCGATCAAGAATCTGTAGGGCTCAATGAATTCTATGACTGCGTTAATCCACTCTAGGGTTTCACTTGCTGTCTTGCACGAAAACATGCTCTTGCCGTTGCCGTTTTCTCCGTCCCCTGCCGGACATACCAGCTGCGGCGAAACCAGAAATGAGTAACTAAATCCGGCTTGATCCGTTCTTTGTTTTTTTGGGCTGTTGGGCTGATGTATTTGATTCCTGGGCCACAACGCATTCCACTGTGATTGGGCTTCATTTCTACAGATTACCAAGCCTTTCGAAAAATTTCCTACAACATGTCGAGAAAAAAAAAATTCATCTCAACTTAATTGGTAGTGACATACTAACCTATTGATCATGAAGTGAAATTAGTAATTTGATTGTCAAAAGCCCTCACTTCTGTCGTTCCCAGTGACGAATTGGTGTGTATCCCTTCCCCGCTGTACTGCTATTTTATCCCCAAGACAAATGTATAGGGTGACGAATTGGTGTAGTACCAACATATTTTGCTATATCAACAACACTAAATGGTCTCACATTCATGGTCACTTTTTTTTTTTTTTTCTGTTCTATTTTGTACTTCTATAATCGTAATTTGGTGTCTCAATAATCAGCTCTTTGGAAAAGTCAAACTCTTATTGCTATTTCATTTTTCAGGATAAATTATTTGCCCGGCCTATAAACTATTTTCATTGTACTCTTTTGACCCATCAACAATATATTGTCGCAAACGAACCCTTTGACTATATATAGTGTCATGTTTAATAAGAACTTCCTTCAAATTTAATCGTCAATGCCAATAGAACGAGGGATAAAAGTGCATACAAAGTCCTTTAACTATTTCTATTGCCAAGTTTGGGTCCCTTTGTTTCAGAGTAACCCCTGAACAATTAAAAGTGTGTACTTTCAACCTTTCCAACAAATTTAGTCATAAGTGCAGTCAGAACCAAAGGGTATTTTTGTCTAAACACTTAATAAAACCATGTAAATAGAATTAGAATGGTTACGACAAAGAATTCACTTCATTAACCATTTTGGATTCTTCTTCTTAACCCTTTTAGATTCTAGTTATGACAGTTACATTAAGTGGGTGGATGCAAATGTTCTTTAGTTCCGACTTGCACTTCGTACTGAAGCGACCGAAATGATTGAAAGTATACACTTTTATTAATTGTTCGGTAGCTACTCCAAGATAAAATTTAGATTAAGACCAAAACTTGGCAAGCAGAATAGTTTGAGGGTTCTCTATATACTTTACTTTTAAGAAATTCTTGTGTTTGGTAAATTTTATCCCTCGTTCTATCAGCACTAACAGTTACATTTGATGAAAGTCCTTAAACGTGACACAGTTTTGTTGAGGGACATGTTTGTAATAATATATTCTTGAGGGGTCAAAAGAGTACAATTGAAATAGTTTCGGGGATCTTGGGTAGATAGTTTCCACACGGGATCCTCAGTGCCACTTTTCCAGTGACAATTCAGTGCCACTTCTATATTTGTGCCAAGTGTCCTATTTATTTAATTTGTCATGTGTTGTTTATTTAAATTTCTTCTACCATAACGTGATAAGTGGGATTGACACTGAATTTGATACCGAGTAGTGGCATAGAGGATCCAAACTGGATAGTTTCCCCCTTTTTTTTATGGACCCAACAATAAAAAGAAATTAAAGAGAATAAAAGAGGCTACGAACGATGGAGCTAGATTACGCCTATGTGAACCGTGCACGTGGTAATCAAGAACAAAGTAGCGTGGTCCAATAGATTTCGCATTGTAATGCTACTGGCACTCGTTCATTCAAAACAAAAAACAGAGCAGTATTACTACTTCCCGACAAAGACCGTAGAGATGAGGTGGAATGAGTCTACTCGTAACAGACTTATTAATATTTGTGCTGGGTACGTACACAAGTACTTAACAAGTACAAGTACTGCTATTTCTTTTGTTTCTATTTTTTTATGCAAATAATAATAAACTCTTTCATCCAATCGGTTGTGGCCCGATTCTATTTAATAAACTCGGGGTAGGGGCCAGATTCTATTATATGTTTGCCTTTGATTCTCGGTAAAGCATTGGGTGCTTTGATGCCGCCGTCGCCTCGGAGGGCGTCCCCGCCGCTAGAGCTTCGTCCTTAAAAAGCTTTTCTGTTTGCGTTAACGGTGGGATCTGCTCTAATCTAATGCTACTAGTACTTGCTAAGCACATAGGACGGTAAGAGGACCCCGCCCTTCGGCCTTCTCCCTCCTTTTTTTTTTTTTTATAGAGGCTTCCCTCTCTCATTATCGTCAATTCAAGAATTGATTAATGTGGAGACTGAGAGCAGCGGAGTCAAATATTTCCCGTTATTTATTGAGCCGACAAAACAAAAAAAAATTTTCCAACAAAACTTTTTGTTGGACATTCTTCGTCTTGTGTATGGATGATTTAGGAGTCTAACAACAGAAAGAAATACGAGGTTGCAAAAAATGTTGTGTCGAGCCGAAGCAACCTTTACGAGAGTGGTATTTGTGTTTCTTTCACTTTCGATCTGTGCCCGCTCCATCAAATTCAAAGGCCATCCATCGGCATCAACACAGTTTTGTTTTGCTTCTTAGCAAGAGATGTGTCGTGTTGATGAGCAAAAGCGTGCCTGTGAAGCAAATCAGGAGTTTGCACGTATCACCCTAACCTAACAGAGAGCTAAGTAAAATTTAACAGGATTGGCACAATATATATATGTTAACTCTAAAAATGGATCAATGGCCAAGATGAGATATTTTGAATCAACTTTCATGCATTTTGCCCAAGACGTTCAAAGTATCTTTTCAAGTTCTTTTAAAACGATCCATAGGAAAGACCCAACACATGACTTCATCTTACCCGGTATCTCGTGCGCATCAATAATGCTAACTACTCCCTCCCTTTTTTTTATAACTGACGTTTAAGGATTTGCACACCAATTAAGAAAAGTTTTTCATTGTTTAAATCTATACACTACTTTCCTTTTGTACCCTCATTAATTGTCCAATTCACAAATGTTTTCTCTCACTAGAATACTAAATGGTTGTTACAAAAGAGAAGCAATAATTACTAGGAGTAGTAATTAAGAACCCTGTATTGAAAAAGAGAGATAAAAGGGTAAAATTGTGAAAAAATAATTAATGCTGCATGGGGATAGTAAAACGACAGATAAAAGTACTTAAGAGCAAATTTCTTAAACGTCAATTATAAAAAAAGGGAGGGAGTAGTTACGCTGGAAATATATGCATCAGCCGAAGAAGTAATGGGAGATTAGTCACCATTAATACCAGTTGTGGTTGCATTGTAGGAACTAGGAATAATATGGAGCCAAAAAAAGAGAGAGATGAGACAGCCTTATATGCAAAAGGGGCGGTCACGTGACGACTGACTGAGAGGAGGAATCAAGAGACGTACGATACGAGGGAGGGCCAAATGGAGACACATTCAAAATCAAACTAAATAAATACTCCAAATGCCCTGAGACGAAAACTGAGAGGTGAGGAGAAGAGAAGAAGAGGGGTGGAGGGCGGGAGATACCGCAACTGTAGTGATGTGGGCTAGAGATATAGAGCAAGGGGACCTCTACTGAGCCACAGTAGCCTCCTCCTGCTACTGCTAGCTACTGTAACGCACATGAGTCATGACCATTGACAAACAAAAGACAGCTCCGCCAAAGCCACTCCTCCTCCTTCTCCTCTAACCCAATGCATGCGCCACAAAACATAAACGTTCCAATTGTCTGTCCATAACTCTTTTGTCTTCTGCAACAAATTCACTTGTTTCACTAGAATATTCAAGTGAATTCGAGCGGGACATCAAAACTCTGAATCTTTACAAGAGCAATTGCAGTTTTCGTACCAAATATTTGAAATGTGAGCGTTTTTAGTCCCTAAAATTTAGATGAAAGCAAATGTTAGTTTCAATGTCTAAACGCATTTTGTTCTATTAACTGATTTTTTCTAATTGCTAATCGATTTGGTCATGTGCTATTACGTTCAATCAATTTTTGGAAAAAAGAATGTCGCTGACTATAATTTGTAGTATAAGAGGATTAATTACTCACATGATGATCATGTAAGTAATTAGTCTTTAGCTTATAAATACAAAAAATTGGTTAACAGAAAAAAAAATTTAGGCTTAAAAAGCTAATTATTCACATGATCAACATCTCAGTAATTAGTCTCTTTCATTATAGATTACGACTTTTTCATAAAATTAAATGCCAGCACTTGACCTAATTCTGATAATAATCGGTAAAAATACACCACTAAGACTAAATTGCATACTAAAATATTTGGGACTACATTTGTTTTAATCCAAACTTTAGCGATTAAAAGTGCTCATGTCTCAAATATTTGGGACCAAAACTGTAATTCTCTCATTGGCAATGCAAATGTTTTTTCCTTTTTTGGCAATGCAAGTTGGCTTACTAATACCTGTAAATTCCTTGCATTTATGTGTATTAGGGTTAATTTTATTTTACATCCTTCGACTATGGCCTTGTTTGGCAAATGAGTTTTTTGGATGTTTGTCTAAAATTTTATTGTAACTTACTGTAAAAGTTGTAGAAAAAAAATTTTAAATGAAAAACTTTTTTCTCTCCCTTTCCCCCTTTCCTCCCCCTTCCATTGGCTACAATTTGGTCTCGCGACTAGATCGGGTAGAGGGGGAAAGAGAGGGTGGCGAAGGAGGGAAAAAGGGGAGAGAGGTGGCGAGAGAGGGGGAGAGAGAGAGAGGGAGAAAAAAAAAGAGGTGGCCGGCACCGGAAGTGGTTGTCGACACCGGAACCGGGCGCTGGCTGATCTTGGCCAGCGACGGAGTTGGTGGTAGGTTGAGGTGGAAGAAGAAAGGAGCAAGGGATTTTTTTTTTATTTTGGGTATTTTGAAGTGTGTAATTTAAAATTTTGAAGAAGTTTTTTGAAATTACTGTTGTTAAAAAAAGGGATAGAAGACAAATTTGGCAAAAACTCGCTTTGCCAAATAGGGCCTATATCTCAATTATTAATTTGATCCTTAGATCATAATTAGGACACTTTAATTTCTGAACTATAAAATCCCGCTTACGAACAAATGTTAATGAAATCATCAAAACTAACGAAACATGTTCTAAGGGTATAGAAAGAAAATCGTATTGATCA